AGGGGAGCTTTCTCCACTAACTTAAAAGGACAAATTGATAAATTGCAGTTGGAGTTACATCATCAGCTGCAGGACATTCAACGTTTAACCAAACAGGACATTTTTCAAGCCCTTAATGAAAATATTAATTGGCTGAATCCTAAAACATGGTTTGATGGAATTAATTTGAGAATTTGGGTTTTTGGAGCTGCTGGTTGTTTACTGATTGTGATATTGATTTGTGTACTTCGGTGTATTTGCAAATTGTTTTCCCAGGGTCGTGTCAGAGACCAGCAGGTAGCCACCTTTATGGAACCCTTAGCAGTCCTAACTGAAAACAAGGGAGAAGGTATGAGAAACCACTCTGGCAGGCGTAAAAATTAAAACTCAACACCCACGTAAGAAAGTAGGTGATGAGTCGGTGCGCAGAACTGCACCTGTTAAGAAATCCTCTTGTAAAAAGTCAGGCTTGCATTATGCTCAAACTGCCTTGTAATTTGCCTTTCCTGATATCTGTGTAATTTCTCTCAAAGATTGAAATGTAATCAGACCTATTACTTTTGTTTTTCCCTTAATATGTTTTCTTGCACTGAATTTAGAAATTTAGGTATTCACCACCCATAGAATTTAGTTTCTGCTTTATATTTCTATTATTGCCTTATGATGTATGTAGATGTTGCTTTTCTTCTGATTTGCATTCGAAAACAGCAAAAGTAGGTTTCACAGGCTTAACGACCACAATTGATTTTAAAAACTAAAAAAGGGGGATATGTTGGGAACCGCCCTGACTGGTATCAGAAAACTGAGACCCCCGCCTAGGCTAAGGCTAAGGGAACGCCCTTGGAACCGTGAGCCGGCAAGGAGACAAAAGCTTATCTTCCTGGCAGGAATGCTGTTTCTGCTGCTTTGTTCATAACTGAACCCCCAAAAAGCTTGGTCGGTTAGCCAAAGACGGGTAAGATTCCCCACGGGGGAACAACCCAAGCCAGGCACGATCACTTTGGGAGGCCCCCCAAAAGAAGGACTTGGGGGGCTGCAGCAAAAAGGGGGTGATGGACCCTCACTCCTCGGCTTTGACAAAGTCTGAGTTCTCAGCGTCCGGAAGAAAATCTCCTTATCTCTCGGTGGCCTTAGTTCCCGCGCTCCACCTAAGCCTGCAACAATGACGGGGAAGTACAGTTCGGTACTGGGAAGTGCGGATTTCCCGGGGTGATCAGGCCTAAGAAAGAACATGTAAATTACTGTGAAACCTTCTTTAAGAACGCTCTCAGTTGAATGAGAAGGGTCTTAGGAGGAAGCTAGTTTGTTCCTCAGCCTTACAGCTCTTTGACCCCCAACTCAATAGACCGGCAGAGTTCTTTGTTTCCTATATTCCTTACTTCCCCTAATGAGTATTGTACGTTACCTGAGTTATTATGCAAAATGAGCCTAATAAAAGCAGGTATGGACGGTAAATCAGCGCGCTCCCCCACTAGGGGGGGTGGCCATTCTGTCCCTACTTCCCCACAGAAACTGGTTTGTCTCTGTGTATGTGTGTTTTTTCTCGCGTATTGTCGAGCCATCCACAGTGTGCCGTGGTCACTGCTAGCCGGTGACCCACGTGCAACAGAGATACCCCAAAACTCAGTGGCCAAAAAAAAATAGATGTTTATTTCTCTCTCATGAAGTAGTTCAGGAGGTGGTGAGCAGTCCAGAGAGGGCTGGCTGCTAAGCTTCTTGTGGTCACCCAGGGATCCACATTCCTTATTGCTATCTTGTTGCTCCATCAACTTCTGCTTGTTAGTCCACTACTGCGATCAGAGCTGGCTTGCCAACACTGTCCAGGGGTGTCCAACCCACGGCCTATGGGCTGCATACGGCCCAGGGAGGCTATGAATGCAGCTCAACACAAAATCTTAAATTTACTTAAAAACTTTTTTTTGCTCATCAGTTTTACTTAGTGTTTGTGTATTTAATGTGTGGCCCACGTCAACTCTTCTTCCAGTGTGGCCCAGAGACACCAAAAGGTTGGGCACCCCTGGTCCTCTAGCCCATGGGAAGGGTGAAGAAGAGGGAGTAGAAAGCCAATTTCCTTTCAAGGGTGTGACACGGGCATAGCATGCGTACCTCTGCTCACAATCCATTGCAAAAACGCAGTCACATGAACATACTTAGCTGTGGGGGAGGCTAGAATATGTAATCTCTTATACGACACTAAAATGCCCCATAAAAACGTGGGGGGTGGATCCTATATGTGTAAGAAATAAATAAAAAATGGATACTCATGGGAGATCAGCAGTCTCAGAAGTAAAATAGTTACGTGGTTAAAAAATAACATAATATAAAATGGTCTAGAGTAGTCTCCCACCCTGTTCATCCTCTGTGTGGGTCCCACTCCTCTCCTCCAGAGATTAGTGTCTTGTGTATCCAGAGTTTTCTTAAGCAACTTTGAGCAGATACATTTATTTCCTACCTTACCCCATGTTTTACAAAAAAGAAAAACATAATTATGTCTATCATTCTATGCCTTGTTTTAACAATGTATTTTATATATCCTTTTATATCAGTGTATAGTTATCTTCCTCATTCTTTTATAGTGCTGCCTGGTACTTTTTAATTAAAATTTTATTTTTCAATTACAGTTTACATTCAATATTGTATTAGTTTCAGGGGTACAGCATAGTGGTTAGGCAATTCTAGAGTCTACAAACTGTTCCCCTGATATTTCTGGTACCACCCGGCACAATGCAGTTATTACAATATTATCGACTGTGTTCCTTATGAGGCACTGTACAGCCCTGTGACTATTTTGTAACTACCAAGTTGTACTTCTTAATCCCTGCACTCTTTCACTCAATCCCCTAACCCCCTCCCCTCTGGAAAACATCAGTATATTCTCCATATCTCTGAGTCTCTTTCTATTTTCTTTATTTTCCCCCCTCTAGCATTTTCTATGTATTGTAGGTGCCTCATAAAATTATGTAAATATGCTTGAGCAGGATGTAAACATCACTTAACTAGAGAAACACAATCTAAACATCGCCTAGGACCATGACATCCTGTTTCAATGGTCAGATATAATAGTTACTATTTGTTGGGGCCTTACTACAGGCTCTAGTAGGTGCTTTACACACATTCTTAATTATCACAACAATTGTGAAATAGGGTTTACAAAGCAAAACCCAAGACAGGAAGTTGTGTGCAAGTCGCTTATTTGGAAGGTGCAGAAATGAAGTAGTGGGCAAAGTGAGACAGGCAGGTGAGAAAAGCACAGGGTTTATTAAAGAGCGGGTTACCACTCTGAGTAACAGGGGCTCAACCCAGCTGGGAGGCTCCCTGAGGAACTATGTTAATGTCCTTCAAAATGTTTCACTGAGGTCAGTCAGGGTCGCCCTAGGGGATATTAATCCCTGGTATTTTTGGCTGTACAAGTCCCTGTGCACCAGAAGCAGCCCAGGGCTGTGAGAGAGACAAAGGTGGGCACAGAGGTGGGCAGCTGAGTGGTACAGGAGCTGTCCCCTGCTGTGGCAGTGGGCAGAGGGGCTACAGGGCAGGCCATCAACACAGCCTGCTGTAGTACTACTAATCCCGTTTTAAAGTTGAATAAACTGGAATTCAGAAAGGTTACCTGCTTAAGGTAACATCGCAAGTAAGTGGCAGATTGGGGGTCCTTTTGCTGTGACTGCAATCCTATGCTCATTACTGCTCCTAAAACATGGCATTGTTGTAGGCATAGCCTGAAGATTATGGAATTAATCACAGAAATGTGGAGCTAGTATGTGCACCAAAGATTCTTGAGTCTGTTCCCTAGAATAAGGAATGTTACAGTAACTTGTAAGTCTGAGGTTACAGTGCAGGAGGGTTTCAGGTGGGACCCAGAAACAATACCATAGGCTTCTGCACACAGTGTGCCTTCCACAACCATGCACAGCCCTTTTGGTAAATATATTTAACTCATTAAAAAAAATAAAAAGATGCATACTTATATTTATTACAAATGTAGTATATATTAGATTTGAAAGTTAAAATTATGGAATGGCCTCATTTCTTCTAAATAGTATCATGAGCCCTGTGCCTGATGGAATCTTAAGGATTATTACATATTTGATTATTTCTTGTCTTGCTGCCTAATGCTCTCTCCTGTGAAGCCATTTCCTAAATAAAAGTGTTACAGCTGAAATTAGATTAGCAATGAAAAATAAATGAACTACTTGTTATAGTCTCTAGGAACCACTTTGGATGAACTAAAGTGTTATTCAATTAGCAAACTAAAAATTGTCTGCATAATTTTATTCATGTTCACCATTTCCTCAAGGTACTACTAACAGAGACTCCTGTAGTTTTAAAATATTAGGAATCTAATGTAATGCATTTTTTCCAGCCCAAAAGACAGTCCATATAGACCCATTATAATACTGTAACTGCAATCTTTTAAAATGAGAAAAAAGTCATTACATCAGTTTTTGGCATGATTTGATGAACTAATTTAATGAAATATTCTCATTTTAAATAACAGTAAAACCATTGCTTGTGTTTATCGGGAGAAACAAATCTTTTCTTAAAAATTTATTCTACATAGCAGGAAGAAAGAAGGAGCTCCTACCCTTCGCAGCAGCATGGATGGAACTGGAGAGCATTATGCTAAGTGAAATAAGCCAGGCAGTGAAAGAGAAATACCATATGACCTCACCTTTAACTGGAGCCTAATCAACAAAACAAAACAAGCAAGCAAAATACAACCAGAGGCACTGAAATAAAGAACAAGCTGACAGTAACCAGAGAGGAGGGGGGAGAGGTATAATAGGGGATAATGAGGGGGGGCATCAAGGAACGTGTATGAAGGACACATGGACAAAGCCAAAGGGGGTGGGTTTGAGGGTGGGAGGTGGGGATGGGTGGGGCGGGAGGCCGTGGCAGGGTGAAATGGAGACAAATATACTTGAACAACAATAAAAAATAAATAAATACATAAAATTTAACTTATGAAGTCATGCCATATGTGGAGATTCCAATTTAATAATTAGAGTAGTCACACATATGATATGATTCTTCATGACGAAGATTCTATATCCACACACATTGACCAGTTATTTTCTTTATTATTTCTGCAGTTCCTTAAAAAATTCTCTCATTATTTATGTTCATTTTACAAATATTTATTTTACATTCTGCCCCATGAATTGCTCTGAAGCTTTGTCCTTGTCCAAGTCTGAAAGTCTGGTCCTTCTTTTGCCTATTCACTGCCATACAGATCAGAATGTAACAACCTTTATTCCCATCTTCTTGGAGTGATGTAATTTTTTTCTAATGGACTGTTTCTTGTCCCTTTAAAGTCTTGAGTATTTCTGCCCTTGTATACATACATTTCCAAAAAGGTCCTTCTTCCTCCCTATGAGTGGAAGGTACAAAAGGAGGAGACCAAAGAAGAGAGGAGGGTGCAGAGCAAGTATGGAAACAATCAACTTTTCCAAAAGAATCAATGTAATAAAAATAGATGTTAAAAGAAATATAATGTGTTACATTTATACCACCATTTATACATATTTGGATAGCAGCAGCTGTTTTGTTTCAAAATCCAGGGAGATATTCTTCTAATGGAAACATACATAATCCTATGACTAAAAGAGAGCTTCTTACTTCATCCTTTCACCAACAGGCAAACCTACCCTGGAATAATTTTGGGTTAAAGAGCCTCATTATCTTTGAAAAGGTCAATAAGAGAAAGTATCTTTTGAAAATTACACTTAGTAAACATTCATATTATAAAGTACAATTCAACTCTACAAATGTCAGTATGTTATCTCTCACTTTAAGAAGTGTTTCAGAGTAGCACTGCTGCTTGCTACCTTCTATCTGTATTTAAGATTGGATACTTTTGTCCTAAGTACTTTCCTGCACAGTAGTGTTCTCAAACTTTTTAGATAATGGCCCACTTAGCAAATGCTACCTTCCCCAGGGCACTCTAACAATTCTCCAACACCAAATAGGTGACTCATAGAACTCAGACAACACTATACTTTTAATTCCTATTTTATTATAAAAGGTACAAGTCAGAAACAGCCAAACGGGGGAGACACGTAAGGTGAGGCCCGGAATGCAGAAGGCCTGGGAGCGTGTGCCACCTTCTCAGTACACCTACGTGCTCACCAACCAGGAAGCTCTCTGAGCCTCCTTATAGAGTTTTAATCAAGGTTTTATTACAGAGGTATGATTGATTACATCACTGGCCATGTAATTTAACTCAGTCTTCCCATATCATTAGCAGTCTCTCCCTATTCGCCTCTCTCCCCAGCCAACAGTAATCTACTTCCTGCCTCTATGGATTTGCTTATTCTGCACATTTCCTATGTTGATACATGCAATTATGTAATATATGGCCATTTGAGACTGGCTTCTTTCACCTAGCATAATATTTTCAAGGTCCATTTATGTTGTAGTATTTACTGGTTCTCTGTTCCTGTTTATTGCCAAATAATATTCCATTACAGATATAGCACATTGTGTTCATCTATTTATCAGTCGGTGGACACTTGGACTGTTTCCACTTTTTTGGCTGCTATGAATAATGCTGCTATAAGTACTCATGAACAACTTTTTATGTGAACATGTGTTTTTTTTTATTTCTCCTGGATGTATGAGTAGGAGCGGAGTTGCTTTGCCATATGGTATCTCTATATTTAGCCTTTTGCAGAGTTGCCAGACTGTTTTTCAAAGCAGCAGCACCATTTGCATTCTCATCAATAGTAGATGAACAGCACTAGATCTTATGTCTCTCCCATGAGGAAATTAAAATTTCCCCCCTAGTTCCAATTGTTTAAAACCTGGGAAAAGAGTTCATGTGATCTGGCCTGAGTCAGAGGCTGGCCTGTCTCCCCTTGAGCAGATAGATGGCTGTCTCACCTCTGGCTGTGGGAAGCAGGGTTTCCCTGGAAGGGCATGTGCTGCTGCACTGGGCAGAGAAAATGCCTGCCACAGCAACCTTGGCTTTAAGGGCATGCTACCTCCTCGGCGTAACTGTAAATGTGTGGTAGCATTGGGTTGATACGGTTGGGTCCTCCTGGCATTTAGGGAGTGTCTGGGCCCTGGAGTGTAAGTGTCCTGAAATGTGCAGTCTCTTCCAATGAAGATGTGTCCTTCCCCAAAGGTCAGTACCATTCCAGCTGATTAGCCCAGTTCTATAATAATGAACATCCCCTTTAGTTGGAGTCATACCTATTCAAAGTAAAGATTTTATACCCAGCCTGTCCTTACAGCTAGATGTGGCATGTGATCAAGTTCTGGTCAATCGCATGAAAGCAGAAGTGGCATATATAATTCCTAGGAGAATCCTTGGAAAGGGTGTGTGCCCTTCTCTTTGCCATTCTTCCTTCCTGCTAGCTGGGGGCTGGTGTTGGCGGCTGGGGCTGGAACAGCCATCCAGCCCACCAATGGCAGTCTCACTCTGAGAAAGCGTTGAACGACAGGATGGAAGGAATGTGATGGCTGCAGACTGTTATACCAACTCTGGGCTGCCCATGGATTTGTGGGAAGAAATAAACTTCTGTCTTAATAAGACTGCTAGTTTGGTTTTCTGTCATGCTTAGCTGAACCAAATCCTCATCTAACCTTGTCCTATGTGCTGGCACCTTGTCTACATACCATCTATGAAAACACTCAGCATGCATTACCTCAATGGTTGCCCACATCAAACCAAATGAGAGAAGCACCTGTACCACCCACTCCCGTTTCGAGATGGGAAAATCTGAGGCTCAGAATAATTAAATACCTTGTTCAAGTTCATACTGATTTAACACAGAAGACGCTGGGTCTCCAGAGCCCAAGTCTAAAACATCCTTGCTAAGACACCAACAAATTAATGAACCCAGAACAAACCGATAATGATAAAAACTAAGACACAATTAATAAGTAAAAAGAATAGTAATCAGAACCTCCGATGCCTCATTATAATAGTGATGATACATGATAAGAAATTGGCCTTTTGAAACATGGGAGAAAGCCAATCACCTGCATGTGCACACTTGCAGAGCATTTTTGTGTCTGCCAGACTTTTAGCAGAGTGCGGAATTAAAACACTTAGCACTCTTTAGGTGTGCGCCAATTGCAGCTTATAAATATTAAATTTTAACAATGCGTTTAGGAGATTACTACATGTCCCTTAGCTGCATGCAAAAATGAAAATCTGTGGAATTATACAGCCTTCACATGCAATGAAGGAAGATGTGCATTTGTTAAATACAGGAGGATCTACAGGCCATACTGTATCTTAGAAGATGCTATATGTGAAATTAAGCCTCTTGCTTTAAATCCATAGCCCTCTGTCTCTTGTTCCTTTATATCTCATATTGTCTCATATGTTTCTATATGTCTCATATTGGTTCAAAATTTAGAACATTGGATGTTGCGAGATGATGAAATTCAGTTAACACTTGTAGCACCCACTACTTGCAACTGCATGCCATCAGGGACAAAATGATGACTAAAAGGGATCCTTACCCTCTGGAATCTCAGCCAGTACCTCGGGGGAGATGCTACCAAGACAAGTGGGATCCAAGGTGAGATGCACCATAATAAGGTTGTCCTCAGGTTGTCCAGAGGAACTGATTATTTGTGCCTCTGGATGGTGGATAAGGCTTGAAAAGTCACTAGGATTCTGCCAAACGGAGAAAGGAGAAACCAGGCTGAGAAATAACTAACAAAAGCAACAAGCTGTAGGAAACAATGGAACAGGCTTAGGGAGTGACACGCAGCCCAGGGCATTTGTTTATTTAAAATTACATGCGTGTGCTACTATACTAATGTACATTGTAAACACAAACATAAACAGAAATTATTAGGGAAAAATAAGTAATTCTAAGGGTACTGCTAATCATGAACATGGTAAAACTACGTAGTTTAAAAACAGAATGGAGGCCTAAGCAGTGTAGCTGGGTTGGGCATTGTCCAGCAAAGTGAAAGGTCATCAGTTCAATTCCCGGTCAGGGCATATGCCCTGGTCGGGGAGTGTGCAAGGGGCAACCACCCAGAGGTCTTTATCTGAGTTATAGCAATCAAGGCAATGCCTTGATTTCCAATGTCTAGCCTCCTGAATGGTGAGAGAATAAATTTCTGTTATTTAAAGCCACCCAGGGTCAGATAATGCACTACAGCAGCCCCAGGACACCAATACGCTTTGTTATTCGAGCCCTCACACAACTAACTCTTGGCTGGTGGTGATCAGGACCCAGTCCTGGCCCTCACGGAGGCTGCGTTCTGGTTGAGGGGGGTCACACACAAAAAACAAATATTTAAGTTAAATTTAATAGTGGACTGTTAGGTGCTGTGACAGTTCAGCTCCAGAATTGTATATCCAATTGTGCACTTGCACTTTCTACTTAAATGTCTAATGGGCATCTTGAACTTAACTTTCCCCATGTAGAAGTGCCTGGAAGCAAGAAGTTGATTTAATGAATGGAGTCAGGAAAGGTCTCTGGGCTGAGATGACAATGCAGGAATGATGAGGATGAGCTAGGACAGTGAATGAAAGAGGGCAGGTTCAAAGCAAAGTCCTTGTGTCAGTTCATTTTGATTCAGCCTTTGGGGGTGAAGAGAGAAAGAAGTTGAAGGTTCAAGGGAGGGAGGCAATGGCAGTAAATCCAGAGGAGGTGGAAGTGACTGGGGCTAAGGTGAGAAAGCAGCCCAGGGGTCAGGGTCTTCAAAAGGCAATGGGAAGAACAGAGCAGGGACTAAATGCTGCTCACACCAGATGAACACTGTCTGAGGGAGAAGTCTGCCTCTACCACTTGTGGTTATAAAAGAGTAGGAAGAGGGTTTGCAAATTGACCAGGTTGAAAGAGCTAGTTAGGGGTGGAGCCAAAACTTGTCTGCTTGAAACTTCGTGCATTTTCAGGGCGGGGGTGGTGGGGTGCTTCACATAGAGATTTAGGCATCATGATAACACAGGTGGTAATTGGATCTGGGAAGGGACAGTGTTACTCAGGTAGAATCCAGAGAATGAGTAAAGGATGTGGAAAGAAGAGTTCGTTAGCAAGAGAGACTCAGAGTTGGGTCAGGGAGATAGAAGAAGAAGTGGGAAAAGACCAGTGGTTGTGGAAGCTAAGACAGACTCACTAAGTGGAGAAAATGGTCACCTGGGTCAAATACTCCAGAGAGCTGAGAAAAGACGATGACTCTGGTACGACACGCTAGATTTAGGTCAATTTAATTTGAGCATGAATTCCACAAGACACTAAGCTCTGAAACTTGGTTTTCCTATTTGTAAAATCAGGGTATACATGGAGAAATCTGCTGACTTGTTTAACAAATTTAAACCCGTACCTGGTAAAGTTGGCAATGGAGAGAGACTTTGTGCGTAGGAAGGCCCAGGTGGACCTTACTCCAGATCCTGGAATGAACCCTGGGTGTCTCTCACTCAAATGTCTGCTGCAGCCACCAGCAGACTGGACAAACACAGATTTTCCAACTCCTCTCGTTGCCATAGCACAGCTGAGACAAGTTACGTTATTTAAGCGAGATACTGCTAAAGGTTGGACCTCTAATCTTGGGGCTGGTCATGAAACTTTTTTCTTTTCTTTCTACATTTCCTTCATTGGTAAATTCATCTAATCCCTTAGCTTTAAAATACTGTCCCAATGCCCAGACTCTCAAATGTGAATCTCCAGCCTTGACTTTACTGCTGAGCAACTGGCTGCCCTAGATCATTACTTAGATGTCTAATGGTCATCCTCAACTTCACCTTCCCCAAAGTGAACACTTGACTTCCCGATCCTGGTTACTGTATATCCAACCCACCACAATTCTCTGGGTTCTATCTCCAGGACATTTTCCAAATCTCAGTCCTTCTCTACACCTAATGCCTTGCTATTTCAACCTGCCATCATCTCTCACCGGCACTCTGTAATAGTCTCCCAACTGGATTTTCTGCTTCTACTTGCTAGCGTCCCCTTTAATTTGTTCTCACAACAGCCACGGATCTGTTTAATACATAAATCACATTACTCTCTTGATTGTAAACCTCCAATAGCTTCTCATCACACTTAGACTAAAACCCAAAGCCCAACAGACTTTACAAGATCCAGACCCTTCTCACTGGTTTGACTTCTCATGCCAACTATTCTCTCTCTCTCTCTCTCTCTCTCTCTCTCTCTGTCAGTGTGCTCCAGCTTAGTCCCTGGTTTTCTTTCTGTTCCTTCAACACATCATGCTCATTTCTGATGAAACATTACTGATTCTCTCTATCTGGAATGGCTTTCCCCATCTTCTCCCCTCTTCTCCATCTTCACATGGCTGTCTCCTCCTTACCACTGAGGTGTCTGCTTATCGCTGTCTTCTAAGAGAGGCCTTCTCTGCCCATGCTTGCTAGCGTAGCTCCCTAGTCAGTCTCTACTGTAACAGTTAACTTCTGTATCTCAGCATTTATCTAGTAATATTTTCTTGTTTACTTTTATGTTTATTATCTGTTCCTCTGGCACTGGAATGTAAGTTTCCTGAAAGAAAAGTATTTTGTCTGTTTGGTTTAACCACTGTGTGTTCAGCCCCAGAAAAGTGCATACACATGGTAGGCACTCAATAAATACTGACAGAGAAAGAAAAGGAAGGAAGGAAGGAAGGAAGAAAGGAAGGAAGGAAGGAGGAAGGAAGGAAGGGGGAGAGAAAGAAAGAAAGAAAGGGAAAGAAAGAAAGAAGGGAGGGAGGGAGGGAGGAAAGAAGACTGGCTTAGAACAGAAGGGAATTATACAGAGAGAGTCCTCTATCATTAGATGATCTGGTTTAAAATTAGAGCTGTCAACTTCACCAGAGAATGCCTTCCCCTTGTTACTTCAGAGTGCCCTGAGGAGTACCCAGACTTGTAGAAATCTGGAGAGAGAGAGAGAGAGAAAAGAAGAAGAAGGAGGAGGAGGAGGAGGAGGAGGAGGAGGAGGAGGAGGAGGAGAAGAAAGAGGGGGGAATAGGAGGAAAAGGAGGAGGAGGAAAGGATGGAAAGAGAGAGAGAGGGAAGGAAAGACAGAGGGTGGGTGAGTGTCCACGTTTTCTCTCCTGCCTTTCTACGGTCCACCACTTACCTGGATGATTGACAATGGGCAGGTCACCTTCCTGGGTCAAGAAGTCACTCTACATTCACAGTAGAAGCTTGGACTAAAAACAAAGAATAAGCACATCAAAATACATCTTAGAAGAAGTACATACATATTAATAGGAAGGACAGCTACTTCCTGCAAGGTAATGATCTCTGTTCTATACACTTTGCATACTTGATCCAAGAATCAGATACAGGAGAGTGATCTGGAATTTGACACATGTGTTTAAGTCATTGTATTACACTGCTTGCTGAGTGTGTCTGTTGATGAGGAGCAGAGCAAGTACTCCTGGCAAAATGCCACCTATGTTACTCGTGCCAAAATACTAAGGATTCCCACAGATGATTCTTGGTGTCCTCTCCATCCTAGATGACTTCAGTTTCCCTGTGCAAGACTCAACACCCCTCTCATAGTTCCATGATATTATCACCTCCAATGCTTCTCACTTCGCCGATGCTTCATCCACATGGTCACACTCCAAATCTTGTCATCATCTCCAAACTATTCCACTTCAGAGACCTTAAGCCCAAAGACTTAAGAATATTTGATGTTCTGCTCATATTATCTACCTTACCTTTCTATATCCCCTTACTCTCATCTACCTGCTTTTTAACCTCAACAAGACACCCTCAAGCCTTGTCTCCCCATCTCTTAGCTCTCTAATGCATGCAATAGCCCTTTCTCTTCTTTTTATTCTCAATGGGGAAAAAATAGCTCTCCCCTGTCCTGTCCCAGAGAACCCCTCAGCCTGAACTCTGGACTTCAGCCCCACCCCCAAGCCCTGTTTCATTAATTATTTACTCTCTCCTCTAGGTCGTCAACTTATCTTTTCCTGGCTTTCTTCCCTCAGCACATCCACATGATCATATCTCTTGTAACGACTACCAAATAAATAAATAAATCTTAGGTGACAGGATCTGATATTCTCCTTATCTAGAATCCTCTTTTCTCTTTCCTTTCACGGTTAAGTCTTTCTCACCCTACTCTAATCCCACTCACTCCTCACCCTTCTGCAACCTGACTTGGGTCCTCACCCCTCTTCTGAAACTGTTCCAGACCAGGCCTCAGTGACCCAACAGGCTATGGTCATATTTCACTTCTTATCTAACGTGGTATCCTTTCTAGAAAGCTGTTCCTCCTTCTGCCTCTGTTCTGTGAGGCTCTGCTCAGTGGGGTTCCTCTTTCCCTCCAGCTGCTCCTAGGTCTCCTAAGAAGTTTCTTTTCCTCTTTCTCTTTGATAAATGTGGATTCACCCTCCACCCTTCCCTTGCCACTGCCTGTATGTCTCTTTCTAAGCAATGTTATCATTGCCTGTGGCTTAAAGGGCCATTTATATATGTTAATGTCATACATTCTTGGAGTCTTAAACCTACATGGCCTTTTAGACATCCCTGTTTTTGATGGCCTATAGGCACCTCAAACTTAATATGCCCCAAACTGAATTTATCATCTTTCCCATTTCCAAAACTGACTCTTTTGTTTATATTTTCTACACAGGTAGTTGGTGACAATCATCCGTGCAGCAGCTCAGGCTAGACACAGGAGAAAAGCCGAGCTTGTTCCTCACCGCTAGACTCCTCTGGCTCCAAATCCCACTGAATTCACCCGCTAAGGATCCCTCCGATCTGCTCATCTCCCTTTCTCTGACACTGCTGAGCTCACACCTTTGCATCTCTTTTCTGAATATTCTCAGTAATTTCCGGACTGTTCTCCCTGACAACAGCTTCATCTCCCTCGTCCAGCCTAAAGATCTGATAGAGTTTTTTCTGTCATTGTTATTCATTTACATCTTTTATTTTCTTTAGTGCCCTTTCAAGCTAAAAAAGTAATATGTTCTCATTGTGAAATAGCCTAAGAGTTTATAAGGCTATAAAAAAAAAAGGCTAAAGTCACCCTGATCTAGTCCTCAAATCTTTCTCTCTTTCTCTCTCTCTCACACACACACACACACACTTTTTCTCCTAAAAATAGGGTCTTATTTAACATGCTGTATTTCTTCTACTTTTAAGAGGCATCTATTTTTTTTTACATTTTGTCATCTCTGAAACCAATATGTACCATACAATCAACGATGTCTTAGATTTGATTAAATACACTGTTTTTCTACAATGTGCTTTTTTAACTCATTAACATGGGTCATGATTCCAAACCAGCATGAACTTCCAGGATGATCTTCCTAAGGTACGAGTCTGGTCAGGTCACTGCCCTCCCAAAAATTCTTCAAAGCCTCCTCTTCTGGCTCCTCCCCTTCTTTATCTTCTGACTCCCTCCCACTCTGCAGCCTCCTTTCCAGCACATCCACTCACATCTTCTTCCTTAAAGCGAAGACGTGTTTGCAGTTAGCTCCCCAGGCACACTGTGCTGGGCCAGACCTTTGTGCTTTTGCGCCACTGTTCGCTCTGCCTCTTCCTCACCTCTTCTACTCCAAGTTGTCTCTTACTGAAAATGATTCTGATCCCCCAAGCCCAGTCGAGGTTCTGCCTTTACACACCACCCCTCGACTCCTCCAGCATCTGGTGCACATCTTTACTAACTTACTAACACAGGTTTGGGCCATTTCTCTCAATAGTGAGAGAATAAATAGTGAGTTCTCTCACTATTCTCTCACAATAAATAGTGAGTTCTTGAGTATGTTCTCTTCTTTATATCCATTTTCAGTAGTGCCAGGGCAACGTGGATAGTCCATAAATATTTTAGGAACCAGTGAACAGTACTTAAGGGAGGCATGAAAATGCTCCCCGAGATGAGGTAAAAGCATTGTAATTAGCCATCTCCTCAACCAAGAGAGAAAATGGAGAAAGGAGGGTCTGGATGGTAAACCACCTGGGTGCCCAGAAATCAAAAGCAATTGCATTTTTTTCTCTTTTCTCAATTTCATGTTTTTCTTTCTTCCCCTCCTTTCTGCTCCAGACCTACTAATTTCACCATCAGCTAAAGATAATCTCATTTCAACAACCACGTCCTTGATGACCCTTCCTTTCTCCCTAGTCTTTTAAGTTTTAAATCCTCTTGCCACAAAACACTGTTTTTTAACCAAAAAAATTGAAAAGTACCAAAGGGAGGTTCTTTCATCTTGCCACCCTAAATCTTCTACCTGAATTTCCCATTTGAACTCCTTTCTGCCCTTGGTGTGGTCACACCTCTCGGGCCCACAAAGACACAACACCAGGAAATAAACACAAAAGGAAGCTGAAGTTTAACACAAAACCTTTATTTTAATAACCCTCCTAAAAGCTTGAAGCCAATGTTCCACCTCAGTGGAAACCATTATCCCCCTCTCAACCTGGTACTGGTTTTAGATCTAGAAAATGCCAAAAATAGACAAATATGTCTCCCAGTTTTCCCTTCTAAGGCCCAGATAACAAAGCCAAAGATTCCAATTCATTCATAGAAAAGTACCAGGTTACTGTTGGGAACTTAAAATAAATCTTAGCTAATGGCCTATGTGGCCGTCACTGAGATTGATTTATGTTAAAACATTTTGAAATTGTGGGGCTAACATACTTCCAATACCTTCCCTTGACAAACAAACAAACAAAAAAAAGGCAGGGACTCATAACACATAACACAATCAGAAATGACAGAGAAAAGAAGAAAATTTAAAAGATGGAGGGAGTATAGGAAAGAAGAGTGGCAAAGGGCAGAGCAGAGCAGACTTCATTGCTGGAAATACATGCAGCTGACAGGATTGCAAGGAATAGACTTGCCGTCACATTTGGAGCTGAGGGTAACAAGGACATCACCATGGAAAGGAATGGGAAGACAGCTAAGAAAAGGATGGAGGAGGGCATGGAGCCAGAGGTGAGTCGATCAAACAACATGCCCTGGCTGGCGTAGCTCAGTGGATTGAGCGCGGGCTGCGAACCAAAGTATCGCAGGTTCGATTCCCAGTCAGGGCACTTGCCTGGGTTGCAGGCCATGGCCCCCAGCAACCGCACATTGATGTTTCTCTCTCTCTCTCTCTCTATCTCCCTCCCTTCCCTCTCTAAAAATAAATAAATAAAATCTTTAAAAAAAAACAATGGAAGTATCTTGGGAATGTAAACAAGACCTCTCTACTCAAGGACCTCAGTGAAAGAAAGGGCAGGACCAACCTATGGCCACAATGAAGGGGGAAAGCAGCTGTAAGGAAAAGTGCTGTGATTCTACTGCCTTGAAGAGGCCAGTGGCAAAGATAGCTCCAGCTACAAATGGACTCGAATTAGAAAGTCACAGCCTCTGAATGGAGAGTTAGAGTGTAGGGACATTCTAATGTTCGGCATAGTGGGGTCAAATCAGGCTAGTCTGTAACACGCAAAGCATTTTGGATGTGAGGGGGGACCCTTACATTCAGGGAGAAAAGACAGCTTCCCTTAGGCCAACACAAAAGAGACTGCACAAAAATCCCTTTGGTTCAGAAATTTTAGAGTAAATGAAAACAAAGTAACACTGGGCATCGAATACCTTAACTGTCAAGGCATAATTAGTGGTCATTTTAGCTGCTGGGGCAATCAGTGATCAAACTGATTTTTCCTGCACCTTAACGCCAGACAATCAGAAAGCAAAAGGCAAGGCCGAGACCAACCTGTAACCTTCACAGTAGCTTTTCTTTTCAGTACAGACTTCAGTGTATTTGGATCCCTTGTTGCCGGTACCTGGGCAGTATCCCCAGGTCACCAGAGGCCTGTTTGGGATACAAAGGGTGTTTCCCCCGACCTCAGGCGATCTGAAATTACTACCCCACAGCATTGATAAAGAAAGGCACCTTTTAGAGAGACCGCAGAACGCTGGTTAATATGCACCCTTTTCCCCATCCATCCACTTCAGCCATTACTTATGCAGCTCGTGGAGAAGGCAGGAACGGATCTTCCATTGCTTTTGTTTCCTACGTGGCCGAGACCCAAAGGAGCGGCGGGTCGCTTACCTGCCTTCCAGTTCCCAGGTCGGGCGCGGCTGCGCGGTTGCGCGCGTCTGCAGAGCGGTCGGTGTCTGGCTCCGGACTGCTCGTGACCTCGCCCACCGCCCACCCGCGCTCCCCTGTCTCTGGCGCGCCTGACTCAGATGGGATGGGCCGGTCAGGTCGGAGACCTCACGGGGAGGAGGGACCGGAGTGGGCGGGTCGGACCCTTTCCCGGAGTCCGGGAGGAGGCGTTGCCAACGCGCAGGTGAAACCGACTCCGACCTATCCCGGGAACTTTCGCTGCCGGGGTTCACAGCAAGAGGCCAGTGTGGCGCAGGGGCGGCCAGGGAGCCGCCCTCTCCCCGCCACCTGGGGCTGCGCGCCGGGGCTCAGCTCGGGGGCTTCTCCCCTAGGGATCCACCGCCTGCTGGGCGCGCTCGGGGGGCTGCAAGCCACGCCAGCCACCGCGGCTGATGGAGGCGGGTGGCGCCGCCCCGGGTGCAGGTGACACTCGACAGGCCAAGGTTTCGACCGGCAGGGAAGGCGAGACACAGACACCCTGGGACCAGGGGACGACAAGGCGGCGATGGCCCGGGAGTTGAGCCAGGAGGCACTACTGGACTTTCTGTGCCAGGCGGGGGGCCGAGTGACCAACGCCGCCTTGGTGAGCCACTTCAAGAGCTTTCTCCGAGACCCGGACGCGTCCCCAAGCCAGCACCAGCGCCGCCGCGAGCTCTTCAAGGGCTTTGTCAACTCAGTC